TGTCAAGAATGGTGGAGATTAACAGGCAGAAAAACAGTGCAGAGCAATTTTGAAGGGAACAAAACAAATTATTTTGGAACTGGATGAAGAATGTGAAACAAGGCCCTTCCAGCAAGATGAACTTAATAAAAAAAAAAAGTGTTAAATGATTTGGAACGAAAATGAAATAAGGAGATTTTAGAGATTTATATAGAATGATAGTGTTATGTTGATGAATGTAATGAAATGAATGCTCAAAGTGCTGAAGGGAAAAAAATGATAACATCATAAATGCTATAAGAATCATGAAAAATAAGGCTGCAGGTAGGTGATGTTAACTGAAGGATTGTTAAAATATAGATGTGATTTGCCTGCAAGGACTCCCCTATCTTGTTCTCCTAAGCAAAGCACTGAATGCAAAAACAAAGGGGGATTAAATTTGTAAGTGTGCCTGGATAGCTGTTTAACATAATTTTGATAGAAAAGGTCTGAGAGGGGACAATGAGCAAAGTTTGGAAAGTGCAGTGTACCTTTATGCCAGATAAGGAGTGTCCAGATTTTTCCTCTTTAGCAGGTCCCTGAGAAATGTATGAATTGGGAAATAAAGTTCATTGCACTTTGCTGATTTCTGGAACCTGTGTGATAAAATGAATAGCCTTGAATTACTGAATTGAGCAAATACAGAAATTGGTTATTAAATTTGATAAGAGGTGTATGATGGAAGTAAAGCATGTCAGAGAATAAATGGAATGCTAAGCAATCAATACTGAGCAGGAAGTAAGACAAGGATGTGACGGTTGTATTTTGGATAAACATAAAAGGACTGTAGTAATGCTAGAAGTATATTGGTTGACAATGTTAATGTGGGTGTACTTCTATATGCAGATAATGTCGGATAAGTACTTGGATGATTTGCAGCAAAGTTTAGAAAGATTATATGATGCAATAAAGTGCATGAAGCTGAAAATTAATGCATCAAAACCCAAGATAATTGTGTTTGAGAGGAAAAATTAAGTAATATTATTGCAAGTTATATGTAGAAGGCAGAAAACCAGAGAAAGTAGATGAATGTGTGAATACTGGTAAAATGTTTCCTAAAGATAATAGATGCAGAAATGTTATGATATGCACATTCTGGTAAAAAATGGGAAGCGTGTGGTCTGTGGGAAGGAAAGTTTGTCAAAATAAGTGCAAATGGCTGTATAGAAGAGCAGTTCTGCCCCCTCTGTCATGTGGAAATGAGACAATATCAGGAAAAACATAAAAGTTGTGTTTCTGTGAGAATGGATTGCTTGAAAAGTGCATGTGGTAAAACTAGAAGAGATAGGGTCATGAATAGATGGTTGTGGACCTAATACAAAAGAATGCAACCAGTAGTAAAGAAATGTGTGGAGCTGCTTTGGTCGGATAGAGAAAATGAATGAGGATCAAATTGGCAGACCAATATATGAAGGAAGAGGGGGGTGGTTGGGAGAAAGAATAAGACTAAGAAAGTCATGGATGGAATCAATGAAATCCTGAAAAAGACAGAGGTGAGAATTTAAAGAATAAAAGGTAGTGTGGGAAGCAATTATAAACACAGCTAAGAGTAGTTTTCAAAGACAAGAAGGTAGGAGAGATATTGAATGAAGTTAGTGTCAACTAGATTTAGCTCTCCCCCCACCCCCTTTACATTATTTGGTTACCATGTCTTATTCCTTTCCTATATTTTGCAACACTGCTTACTCTAAAATGGCAGGAGTGAAATGCAAACATGTATAAGCCACAGGTAAAATTGTAGTGACTGGGTTCACACAATGTGCTATGCCACATCAAAACAAACCACATTATGGCTCAAAATATTGTGTGACCTTGGCCATTCAATTGGTATTAACCATCATCCAACTACATACCCAACAAACATGTATCAGACTGTGGGTTGCCCAGCCCCACTTCTCCTTCCTTGGTATCTCAGGAATTTTGATGGGAAGCATACTGACCGTCAGTTGGTGCAAGAGGGGATATTTTATAGACCACAGAAAAGCTCACGTTTCCAATTGAGTCGGAGGATCTGGGTGGGAAGAGGGTAGGCCGAGTCTTCTCCCACTCTCACCATATTCCTAATTCAGCGTCTTTAGTGGGATGAGAGTACTGGAAAAAGTAGAGATATTGCTGCAGGAGCAGATAGGTTTGGTCACCACATATGCACTCTGTGTGTTTTGGGGGAGGATTTATGTCTCCCTAACCAGATGTTAGCTCTGAGTTCACTTGATATGCAAAAACACAGTTAAATTGAACTAAGCAACCCACAGTTACAGATTATAGCCAAGGCAAAATACCTTTTTATAATCTGGGCTTTTATCTGAGTGTAGAGAACAAGCTAAAACAAACCAGAACAAGGTTTAGCATAACACAGGAAACAAATCAGAGGCTGAGCTTATTTATCATGCTAAATCCTAAAACAAAAACAAAAGAAACCATGGCATTATGGATTCACATATCCATCTAAGTCTAAGTCAAATATACCACACTGTGGTTTGATACAACATGTGAAACTTGTCATGTTAGAACACCTGCAAGAGAGGTAGAAAACTTGAAATAACATAAAGAAATCCAACCAGCGTACAAGCAAGCTCCCTGGCCCCTGTGACCTTGCTGCATTTTGGCAGTGCAGTGAGATTCAACTGAATCATCGTATGACAGCCTAACAACCATTTGCAAAGAACAGAAAATCAATAGAAGACAGACTTGGAGGAAAGGAATTCACTCTTTAGTTTGTGTCACAAATTGAAGTTACTTGATGAACCAGAGGAAGCTACTGGAGGAGGCACCCAGCAGAGGGCAACAGCAGGAGGCTTAGAGTGAATGCAAGCAGGTGGCTTAAATGCTAGTTTTCCGCCAATGACCCCTTAGCCTTTGGAAACGCTGTCAGTCCTGGCCAGCATAAATTGTTTTTGGCTAGGAATCTGCTGCTACATCAGATTTTCCTCCTACTATAACTTGTGCCAGCCTTTTCTTACAGAGATACTGCAGAAGCTGTCACTTTGAAGCACATAAATGGCCAAGAATATTAATGGACTTCTTTGTTATTTTGTTCAAACCAGGTTGGCAAGTCTTAATTTTCTAAGGCAAATCACTCTGAAAGGACACAAGTGCCAGATGTGTGCACAGAAGTGTGCAGCTGTGCTAAAGAAGTGGTATAAAACCAAAGATTTTGGGAGTGGGGGGAGAATTACAATAAACAAATTGTCTGGCTCCCTCAATTAAAACAGGGTTAGCAAATATTTTTAATGTGGGATGAAAGGAGCTTCTCAGTAGCTTGAGGACACCTTTGTCTGCCTGAAGTGTTGAGAACAGCAGAGTTCTCAGGATTTGGGGGCAGTGCTGGACTGTCCTGCTATTCTGAGCTTGTAAAAACAATTCTTATATGCTTCCTGAACGTAATGCAATGCAGGCACCACTTTGAGATTTAGCTCTGGACTGACTTACCTCAGCACAGATCGCTTTTGGATGAAATCACATTGCAGTAAAATAGCAGCTACATTGAACGTGTACAGAGCGCTTCTTTCCTCAGCACTAAACTGTTACTAGGAGTTCCATCTTATGTTTCAGTGAGATTCATCACCTTGTTGTGCCCAACCCCTGGCAACCGTATGGGCAAATGCTCACCATTTCAACCAGTGAATCGCAACTCTTCCAGGCACTTTCCAGTGATTCCTTGATCCCATTCATCTACCTTGCCCATTATTTCAGTAATGTTTCTGGAACAAGCAAACCAGAAGTGGTGGTGGTGATGGACAGCTTTATCAATTCTGTGGCCCATGAAGATGCTTGTTTACCTTACCTGACATGTAGCTTCTTTCTATGGAGAACTATCCAGCCTTGTTAATTCAGGAATGCTTGGAGGACTGGATTACAAGTCACATGGAACACAGAACACCATTTTTTTCCTAAGGCAAATCCTGTAGTACAGAGGACAATTAGCAGGGAACAAAGTTTAACCCTCCCTTTCTCCCACCCTCACGTACAACCATTCTGCTGTTCTCCTGCAAACCACTTTGTCATTTTCTCAGGCATATTCCTTAGACTATTTATCACAGATAGTCAGGAGCCAAGTGACTGTGATGGATGTGATCCAAACTCCTATCACATGGGGACCACTTTCACACATTACAATAAATCAAAACATGGCTTGACTCAGCCCTGTGTGTGACTCAGCTATGTGATTTGTAAAGCATGGTTCATGGCTCAAAAGTGTTGCATCAACTCTAGCAATTGTAGCTAAACCTCCTTATTAATTGAACAGCATCCAAGTGTAAGTTTCCATATACACATGCAGAGAATTTTCTCATGAGCATTCTGTGAATGTTCATGAAGCAGGGCATTAGGGGAGTCTTGCTCATGTAACTATAACAAGCCCTAGCAGTGTTCAAAAGTATTGATGTCTGCACATTGAGTAAAGGCCACTTCATAAACTCCTTAGCATGTTTCAAGGGATCATGTACATCATATAGGTAACCAAGCAGGCATCAGTGACTGGCTGTAGATTTCTAAAGTGTGTGTACTGTATGCAGGGCAAATTCATATTTGCTTCTGTATAATGTGTGAAAGGCTTACCTTTCCCATCTACCTGAAGCTAAGAGTCTGCTGACATTAACTTTTAAAGCCCCAAGTGGCTTGAGATCAGTCCAATTTAGGAAGCAACTTCAGTCTCCATGTCCTACTTAGCTCTAGCTGGTGTATACACAGATAAAACTGATTACTTCATGAACATGAAATGCAGGACTTTGTTAGTGATGACCCCACAATTCTGGAACTTTTTTTTTTTTTTGGTGGTAAGCTTGACTTACATTTAGCCTTTTCAAAACAACCCTGAAAATTGCACATTTTCCTAAGTTTGGGTGACTCAAAACTATTCTCCGCTGCTTGATATAATCTTCTATATCATTTCTCTGTGAACATCACTTTTCAAATGTGAACAAACCTTTGAAGGCTTCATTCCGAATATAAATATTTAGAAATAAATAAAAGGACTTCATTCATAACTCTAGTGTGTTTTATTCAGTAAAGACAGTTCTAATCACGATTGTCACAGTTTTTTTTCCTTTTTTAAAAAAGCACATACCAACACACAATTTAAAAAAAAAGGAACAAAACCACACAGAAACTAGACATTAAAGAAAGTTTGTCAAAGTCATTCTTTTTATGCGATTGTCGAACCTAGCCTAAAATACAGCATAGAACCAACAATGAGAGGGTGAGGGTAATAATTCACTATAAAACAGTGAAAGAACTTTTTTTTAATAAAATATAGTTCAATCCAATAGCTTTTCTACATACTATACACTATAAAAACTCTCCCACAAAAATTAGTGTCTTTAAATATACATATTTGAATCTGAACTGCACCAAGATTAAAAGCAATTTAAAATAACAGGGTTTTTTTTTCTTTCAAACATTAACTTCACAGTACTGGTTTGAATAGAAGACAAATTCAGTGTTTTAAGTAAAGCCGTATTAAGGTAAAATCCTGACTCCAATGAATAAAATCAAAATGGAGCTCCAAAGTTTCCAGTTATGCCCTCTGCAAACCAGAGAAACTGCTGCATATTAAGGAACAAACCTAAGTGTACAGTGCTTAGTAATTTTCTGTGGAGTAAAGAACTGTAAAAAACAAACAAAACATGCTCAGAACTATTGCAACGATTTTTTTAAAAATCCAAAGAATGAAAAAGATATTTAAATAAAAGTGCAATCTTTAAAAAAAAAAAAAAGAAGAAGAAGTGATCAACCCAGAAATGTTGGGAAAGAATAATAAAAAGACAACACTTCAACAAATCCCTTAGCTGGACACATCTGCCACCTGTTCTTAACTGCAGCAGGGAGCATGCCTTTTTCAAAAAATCAAACTTATCTAAAGAAAACCTCAAATCCAACCCGCTGGTGCCCTATGGCACTTAATTTTTAAATCCTTCAACAAGTACCAAGAGAAGAGGCAAACAAGGGTCCCAATACAGAGACCTAGGTATGTAACTCCTTCCTTGTACTGCCCCTTTCATTGCCCCTGGACCACCGCCCTCCCCTGCAACCAAGAGAGGAGAGCTCTTGCAAGCAATCAAGACTCCATGTCGGGATGGGAATTCTTCCGCCATTCCACCCAGCGTGGGATCAGCATAAAAAGAGCACTACATTCTGCGCACTGGTTCACATGTTCACACATTCACTTTGTAAAACATGTACAGAAATAAAATTAAAATCACAGATTTCACACTTGTTATTCTGAAAAAGCTCCACAGCAAGCATTCCTTAATTTAAAAAAAAAAACTAATAAATACTATATCAAGTATCATCAGGAGGAAAATATATATAGATATAGATATATAACTTAAAATTTAAAAAGAAAAGAAATAACTTAACTTGAAGGTTTTGTTCAGTGCTATTTCCAATCTGGGCTAAGGGGTGGGGTAAGGATATGAAGAAAGGACACAGTACAGTTGTCACGTGTCTTAGGAATATGGTGCTCTACCATGCCTTGTTAGTCAGAGTGTTTATACAGTCACCCATTATTTAGAATCAAACATTCCATAAATGTCAAATTTCACAAACCATGGCCACCATAATTTAAAACAGGGATTTTTTTAAAAAAAGCTTTTTATCTGAATAAAAACTTATCGTAATATCTCCCTCTCCAAAACAGCACTGCTATATTACAGTTAATGTAGCAGTTATGCTTTTTCATAGCACTATTTCCTAAATATTTTGGCTATGACTCAAAGGGGAAATGCATAAAATCAGGAAGGAAAAAAAAATTAAAACACAGACACAGCTTTGCATTAACCCTAGAGATGAAGAGGTAAGTTACTGTTTACATGCCTTTTCAGTAGTGGGATATATTATTGCAAAAAAAAAAAACCCCAACAACCCACATCAAAATTTTGGCTGAGCACATAACAATTCCCTGTGGCAACTTATCCAACCTCCCTTTTTGGGAATTCTAATAATCAAAGGGAAGTGCTGGACAATATTTTCTTCTGCAGCATTAATATCACCTGCCTTTTCAGAAAAATCATTTCAGTGCATCCATATTTGTTTAAAAATGCAAGAAAGGCTTTCACTTTAAGAAGAGTCCAAAATGACTGGACATTTGTCTTGGCAATCCTTCTCTAGTCCCATTCACTGGACATCAACTTCTCAGAAATCTAGTCAGTTATACTATTTTTTTAAAATTATTTTACATATCCAAAAATATATTTTGTGGGTATCAGAAGGCATGTTTAATGACATGACAGGGAACAGAATACTGGAATTAGGTAGAAATAAGTGAACATCCCAAATTTGTTCCAATGGTACAGCATTTCAATCTGTTTTAATCCCTCCAAAATACCACACAGCCTGAAACATGTAGTAATGCTTTGCTTGTAAGAAGTTAATTATGCAAACCAATATCAAGTATTTGCCATTTATAAATCAGTAGCATTTTACAAGATTTGATCTATGAAAGTGAACTGATATCGATAAAAACAGAAAGTGTTCTAGAGCAGAGGAAGCTATTGGGGGGACTTCAGAATGAAATTGTGAGTTTCTCTGCTGGCAGATCTGCTTCCAAGAGAACAGTTCCTGCTCCCCTTCCAGTCCTATGGAATAACTCAAATTATTCCAAAAATCCACAAACCCTAGGGAATAGGTTGTGCATTATTTATGGCTAGGATAGAGAAAAGCACTTACATGATTTTGGATTTCATGCTTAGTGCAGCAAAAATTCTTAATTTAGCCTAAATAATGTTCAGTGCTAGGGAACAGCACTATACTTTCTGGAGCACAACAGACTTCCCAATAATTTGAAATGCAGAAGAGATCTTTTTGAAGCAGTTAAAAAAAAAAAACCTATGTGCATATTATAACTAAGTATTTTTTACCTCGAAAGGAAATTATGCAGTAATGAGACTGCCATCTGGCACCTCCACTTGCTCATCTGATCGTCTCATAACTTTCTTGAGGCCCCATTCATTTGAACCCACTTTTCTTCTTCAAACCCTAGCCTGCCTCCATCAGCTGTTCCAGCCAGATGTACTTTCTTTAAGGGTCAGGCAAAGCCCAACTCTTCAGAGTTTCCAAGAAACAACACCCCCTCCCCCCAATCAATTGACTTCCTGCAGCAGCCACCAGCTTGCAGATGCTTTTAGAGATAGTCTAAGTTGGTTGGAGTTAATGGGAGTAAAGTGTGTGTATGTATGACAGAAAGATGGGCACACCAACAACTATGAATATGGTACATGGAGAAATGTGTTCATTGGCCTGGCTCAAATATAACCAGGCCTGAGAGGCTCAACTTGAATTATTCAGCTGGCCACTGGGGAGGGGAGGGTCTAGTCTGATGTTGCACTTTTAGCAAAACTCTGACATACAGAAGTCAGCCTAGGCATCACCACTTCCTAATGACTGCCAGTCAAACTACAATGGTATGGGGAGGATTAATCACAGTTGGCAATCTAAGATCACAGAAAATAGTTTTTCATCAGCATAACTTTACTGTTGATAGTAAGTGAACACAAGCGAGGGCTGGAACTCTTACATGAAACAAAATAAGGATTAGAAAGGCCAAGGGGCTTCAAATACTACCACCTGTTTTCACTGACAAAGTAAAGCTATTACAATATGTTTCCCCCACTGAATGAAGGGTCTGCAGTACCATGTTACTGTGAAATTCCGCCCCCCATCTTAAACACCATGCCTGTCGATTAAGTTGGAGGAAGAAGGGATCATTTGGGAATTAGTGACTTTGAATAGTCCCAATGGGCAAAGACATTTTCATTTCTTAAGGTTTAATCTTTCTCCTGTCAGTAATTTACTTACAGAAAAAAAGTGCACTTGTTAGAAGCAAAACTAGAGGACTACACTAATAGTTATGAACGTGTAGCTTTGCGTTACAATGCCTGCATCTTGCTAAACATTCTCTCCTATGCTCCCTTCAACATGAATCCAAGTATGCACAGGTAAGCTCCTTTCATTCCATCCCTGTGATCCATTTCACAGCAGATAATTCATATCGGGGGTTTGGGGGGGCATTTTGGCTTCCATATACAAAGCCAAAGTTCACATCCAAAGTTCTACATATGACGGCCAAGAGGGAAGAAAATTACACACAACCAGGGCCACCAATGAATCAGACCTGCAAGAATACGGATAAAGGTGGAAAACAAATATTTCACTACAATTCACAAGAAACATAAGTTCAAAGACAAATTCCAAAGTATTGGCAAAGGCAGATGAATAGCAGCACAAGTGAGGCTGATGATTTGGCAGGAAGAGTTTCAAAAGAACAAAACTATCACCTGCTGACAAAAGTAAGGGGAATTTTCAGTCCCACCCTACATTGATTTCAAGGCCTCTTCAAAGTATAGTAAGAATTCTAGACGGTCCCCATGAGGCACATGAACTCAGATTTCTCCTCAGACACACTTCATAAATAAAAAAGTCTATCCCCACCCCACCCCCTTTGAATTTTTTCTTGTCTGGAACAGATTAAAAACAGACTTTAAAAAAAAGCTACATCCAAAACAGGAAAGGAACTGGGGCCATTAGAACTCTGAAATTGCCTACTTGAGGCATCTGCACTGCAGATATGAGTGCTAAACTGGAGGGAAGGGAGGAGCTATTATGCAGGCAATCTAGTACATCTCACCCAAGGAGCAGTTTTGATCAAGGTTTCTATTTTCCTCACCACATTTCCAACTTAGCAAGAGCACATCCACCAAATCAGAAGCATACCAATTAAACCAAAGAGATTAAATCAGCTTCTATCCAAGGATTCAGATCAAGATTCAGCTTACTTGTTACTCCAAAACGAACAGAACATTAAGGGTAATTGGAGGCCTACAGTAGGCCTAGGGATGGGGAGAGTGCCCAACTGAAGCCTTTCCTCCATGAAATGTAGAATTATATTCTCCCACCCCCTCACAATATAATTTGCCTGAAGTGAATCAACAGAGTAAAGAAGTCCAGTAAATGGTGCCTTTTGGTAAGGCAACTTCTCTCAAACCACCAGTGACTTTACAAGGCCACAGTGAAATTTACGGATGTGTCTGTATAAATCGCCTGACTGAGTGAATCGTCTCTCACACCACTTGCAGCCGTGGGGCTTCTCCCTCGTGTGCACCACTGCGTGGCGGCTCAGGTTGTGAGAATACTGGAAGCTCTTCCCACACTGACCACAGGTGTACGGTTTCTCACCTGAGTGAGTCCTCTCATGTCTTTTCAAGGTGTACATACAGGAGAAAGTCTTGCCACAAAGCGTACAAGTAGGCACCGAACCATCAGGGGAAAGCCTGGTTCTTGAAACATCCTTATCACGGAAATGGGAACTGAGATGCAGCTGGAGGACATGTGGGCTAGGAAAGACTTTGCTGCAGAGTGGGCAAATACAGATGTGACCTGGAGGCACCAAGACCCCCAAAGACGGAATGTCAGAGGAATCCATGTCATCTTCACTCACCTCCCGCTCGTGATCTAAGTCTTCCTCTGGCACTTGGGAATTGCCATTCCCTGCAAACATGTTTCCCAATCCTGTCATCAGGCTCTTGGCAGAATTCCCCAAATGCTGACTTTCTAAGCACCTTGCCTCACTATCTTCTCCATCTGACAAAGACTCTGGTTCATCCTTAATCAGGGGCTTGCTACTCTGCTGCTGGCCATTGGAAGCCAGCTGTCCAAAGACATAGGAAGGGTGGAAGGAATCCTTCCCGGCCACAGACTTGAAGGACAGGTCTAAAGCACATTCTATGCCAGATGAAGCCAAGGAGTGGTTAAGAGATCTTTGGGACAAAGGTCCCACTGAACTACAGACATTAGCTCTTGTTTTCTCAGCTGCCACAGCATCCAATTCCGCTTCTGCTAATTCAGAGTTGATACTTACAAGATCAGAGGACCAGCCCAGATAACCACTATCCTTTTCTTTTCCAGCTGATCTTTCATATTCTGTAGCAATTAATTTTTGTTTATTCCCCGGGCTGAGCTCCCGCCCCAAGGGCGCGCCTTCATCGAGGACCCGCATGTCTTTTTCCAAAGGGATCCCGCTGCCATTCATCTTTTCATCCCCGCACAACTCCTTATCTTTCAGCTTGCCCTTGCAGACTTTCACAATGTCGTACATGTGAAGGTAGCTGGCTGCAGCCAGCACATCTTCCACCGGGAGGCTGTTGAACTCCAGCTTGCCTTCGTACATGAATTCAAGCAGCAAGCCAAAGGCTGGGGCTGTCACAATGTCACTGTTCAGATGCACAATGTCCCTTTTGTCTAGCTGGTCCCTGTAGAAAAGATGGAAGTACATGCTGCAAGAAGCGAGAACAGCTCTGTGGGCTCGGAACTGTGCGTCTCCAACTAAAACAGTACAGTCACACAGGAAGCCCTGGTGACGCTGCTGACTCAGACACTGCAGCAACTGCCGGCTATGGTCTGGGAACTCCATTCTTCCTTCATAACCTGTTCAAAACAGGAAAAACTTGAAAGCTACTCTAAACCACAGGGCTTCAAACCAGCTATTAATAAACAAACAGATTGACTGGGGAGGGGATAACTGGAACCTTGGGGATAACAGTTCACCTGTTAACTGATTTGCAAATTTTATTTTTTCAAAAATGCCTCCCCCCCCCACCAGAGCACCTGCTTCAAAAACAGGAAAAACTTGACTCTTAAGTAAACCAAAGCTTCTAAGGAAGTAACGCCTCCAACCTTTGCCACTCAAGGCTTTAAAACCTGGGGGGGAGGAGACTGACTTCAGAGTTTTATGCATTCCTGGAAGTCTTAACTCCAAGGGATCATCATAACTGCTTGATTTTAAAAAATGCATTTTGCACCCCCACATACATAAAAAAATGTCATTAATCCAAGAAAGAGCATAACTACACTGGCTTTGTTCTTTTAAGCCATCACTTGCCCTTCAAAACAGAAATCAGAGTTATAGAGGAAGGCATACTTAAAAATAAAAGAGGTAACTCTGAAAGTTATTAAAAGCAAAAACATTTTTAAAATACCCAGCCCCCCAATTTTGCACTTCCTCCTCAACTGCCTGCAATTGAGGCTCCTCTAAGGAGGGCATAATATCTCAGGGACCTTACCTTGAATAGTTGAGGAATACACAGTGAAGGGTTCATAGGCAGGAAAATGAATCTCCCCCCCCAAAAAGTTCTAGAACAGCCCAAGCTTTTTGCTTCGGGTCTCCCCTCCCCCCATCACCCAAATGTTTGGGAAGAGAAGAGGCTTTGCTAGCCAGTAACGGAAGAATGCTTGTGTGTGTGTGTGAAAAAAAGAGGGGGGGAGAGAGGGAAAAAAAAAGAAAGGAAAGAGTGTCTGGGAGGGAGGAGAGGGATGGGAGGAGTGCTCCGTTTGCTAATTACACCGCAAGCTGGAGAGTCAGCTGCTCTGACTTCACTGCGATGGAAATGCTACCTCCAGCTGTGCCCCTTTTAATGCCATATGTTACTTCAAATCTAGCTACCAGCCAACCACAGCTTGCTGCCTTTTAAAGTTCCAGCAACAAACCCCCCCCCCATTTATAGCCATCTATTAAATCTCAAACTTAAACCGAGTCCTTCCCTTCTTATTCTAAATCCTGCTACCGCCTCTCCCCTCCCTTCCACACCACCCCAGGAAAGTTGCTTAAATAACAACCTTATTACTGGTTACTCTTAATGGAGGACACACAGCTTGACCTTTGGAGAGGTGCGCGGAACAGCAGCAGCCGCAGAAAGGAGGGGAGAGCGAAAAACAAAGTTCGGGATCCGCAGTTTGCAAACTTTTTAAGATTCTTCTTCTCTCCCCCCGTTTGAAAAAGCACATCGCCCCCTAGGTCTAAGATGCCTTCGGATGCTCTTCCCCGTGACCGCTCTCGTATGCTCTAAAGCAGCAATCACACACACACTCTCTCTCTCTCTCACCCCAGCAGTTCTTTCTAACTTTGTAAGGCAATCCGTTCAGCTCCCCCTTTGTGCTTGGAGCCCAGAGGAGCCAAACGCATCCAGCAAACGGCCCAAAATAGCGCGGAAGCCGAACTCTCAGGAGGCAGCGAGCGGGCTCTCAGCCGGGGAACCGAAAGGCCTCTCCCCCGCTCCCCCCGCGAAGCCACGGCGAGGGATGGGGAAACCTGCAGCTTCCAAAATGCCGCTCGGCTACTCACCAGCCTGGCCGGGCGCTGCTCAGAGGTGCCGCTGGCGCACGGCATGTGCTCGAGTCTTTTTTCCTCCACTTCCCAGCCTCAAACTCTACGCCTTCGCCAGATGTGCTTCCCCCCTCCCTCGGCTGCTCCGTGCGCTGCTCCTTGTTGCTGGTAACCCAGCGGTAGCGCTCCTGTGTGTGTTGCGAAGCAGGTTGTTAGCCAGGGCGCTCTCGCGATACTTTCCGGG